GCATTTCAAAGGCGGCTGTTCTTTCCCCAACTTGTCTTTGTGGGCAAGGCTCAGCATAACAGGTGGGCAAACATCAGCGATTAGGCACACCGATCCTGATTTGAGCCTATATTTCCAGACTCTGTAAACATCTGGATTGATCAGTTACTCTGATCCGGTAAGAGCCCTGACCTTTGAACATCCTAGTACCTGTGGGCATCTTAAAGCTAAGGGTAGCTTGTTAATTATTGTACTTCTCTTGTTTCTGTACGTGCAAGCCCCAACCTCACCCCACGGTGGGTAGGGGGGGCAAAGTGTGGATAAAATAAACGCTTGCTGCCTTGAGAGGCAGACTTTCTCTACCCTCGAGAGAGAGCTGTCTCCTGTGATTCCTTCATGTCTTCACCTGCTCCCGTCTTCAAATCCCCGTAACGAATGCTCTGCATCTGAATTGTCTGCACCCCAAAGTGGTGTTCGTGTCACATGCATTGGCTGATACAAGGCAACAAAGAAATCCCTGGGGAAAGGAGAGTTTAAAAAAATACCATTGTACAGCACAGACACGTCTCCCGGCTCTTGGAACTCCATATCCAGGATCCGTTCCAGCAAAAACTTGTCTTTCACCACATAGTCCATATCTGTGTACCTCTGGTGGGGAAAGCGAAAAGGAAAAAGATGTTCCAGTGCTCTCGAGACAGGAAAAAATGCATAGTTGCAGAGCCGTGGTAGAGCCAAGGTGAAATCAACACTCCCTTCTCTCAAGGAAATGGATATTGCCAGGGGTTTTTTGGTAGAAAAAGCCCAGCAGGAACTCATTAGCATAATAGACCACACCCAACAGCAGAAACTCATTAGCACATTAGGCCACACCCCTGACAATACAGCTCATTGGCATATTAGGCCACACACCCCATGGCAGGGCTCTTTTTGTAGGAGGTACTCATTTGCATATTAAGCGACACACCCCTAATGTAGCCAATCCTCCAAGAGCTTACAGTAGCTCCTGTAAGAAGAGCTCTGTAAGCTCTTGGAGGATTGGCTAAATTAGGGGTGTGTGGCCTAATATGCAAAGGAGTTCTGAAGTGTGGTCATCTAGCCACACCCACCTTTTTCTTCTTATTCTGTTTACCTTGTTTGTTGTCAAAACCCAGGGCCTTTTTGTAGCAGGAATCCCTTTGCATGTTAGGCCACACACCCCAAATGTTGTTGTTGTTGTTGTTGTTCAGTCGCACATTCGAGTTCGACTCTTCGCGACCCCAAATGTAGCCAATCCTAATGAGTTCCTGCTGTTGGGTGTGGCCTATTATGCTAATGAGTTCCTGCTGGGTGTGGCCAACTCGGGAGCCAGCCGGAACTCCGTTCCTGTGCGTTCCTGCCCCAAAATAGCCCTGGATATTGCTGATTAATTAATTGAAGGCTGCAGAGGACCGGTTTCTAGCATGCCCTGAGGTGGGGCAGGACCTGGGCCCAGGGTTTCTGGCAGGGCACACCGGCACAGAGCCCCTCAACCACATGCTGCCAGGGAAGGGGTGATGGCACCCCTGGCAGGCCCAGTGGTGGTTTTCTTATGTAAATGCACCACCTGGCACCATCGGGGAAAGGGCATACAGTCAGTAGAAAGTCTCCCAAATGGATTGGAGACGGAAGAAAACACAGCGAGGTGCGGATGAGGGTCAGCTGGGAGGAAGGCGTGAGGGGGGGTTTCTTGGTGGTGGTCAGTGAAGGAGAGAGGGGCCACAACCTGGAACCCGCGGTCAAACTCTGTCTCAAGTTTGCCATGATTTGTAAGGGGAGGGAAATTCCCGAGGGTGTGTGTGAATGACTGAGTGTGTGAACTGCTCTTTCGTAGGCCACGTAACTCTTCCTAAGATTCCTCCCTTGTCCAGGGACAACCTTGAAGCCAAACTGTGCCTGCTTACTATTATAGATAAAGAAAGTGTATATTCACAGGTGGGGGTGTAGTGAGCGCAAAAGCTAGGCAGCACGGTTGTGAAGTGTGACTGGATGTAATGGAAAGGGAAAGGGAGAGTAGAACCTCCTCAGGAAACCGGAAACCTCCTCAGGAAACAATCCATATACAAAAGAACCTCCTCAGGAAAGCTCCTCCATTTGCACGTCCACAGCCCGGGGAACTCCTACAAGATAATGACTCAGCCCTACCCCACCTTCCTGAGTAGATATAAATTACCTGCTGCCCACCATTTTTCTTCTCACCTTGACACCTTTCTGTGTTATACCTCTGAGGATGCCAGTCACAGCTACTGGTGAAACGTCAGGTCCTACAGTGCCAAGACCACGGCCAAACAACACAACCCGGAAAACCTACAACAGCTAATGAACTCCGGCCGCAAAGCCTTTGACAACATATTACACACACACACACACACACACACACTTAGATCAAGGTAGCTCAAGTCTCACGTGTTCCAGGAAGGAGGCCAGGAAATGGTTCAAAGTGTGGTAGCTTCTTAGTCTCTGGTCCCAAGCACCGGACCGGGTCCGTGTCCCTCTTGGAGCCTGCCGCAAGGAGAGTTCACAGACATTTTTTTAATCAGAAGTTCAGGATACATGTCGTGTAGAGACACGGGGAAGGTAGAGAACCTGAGGAAGCGTGTGTGCATGTTTGTTAGCGCAGATTTTCACACTGGCTGTGGGGATTTCGCCTCAATTTTCACCTGCTGCTTTGGGGCGCTTGGCTCCACACACAAAGGGAGCTGTCAATTGGAAAGGGAGGTAGGGGGTGGGGAGAAAGAAAGCGCTCCTAACAGCCCAGCAGTCATTATTCCCGGGAGGAACAAAACTAAAGAAAGCTCTACTAAGGTTAGTTTCCAACCGAGGTGCAGAAAACAAGTTGAGTCACCCCTGATTCGTCTTATAGAAAATGTTTGTGTAGGTTTGCAGGGCAGGAGGACCCCGATTTCGAGGCAGAATCCGCAAATGATCTGTTTTTGAAACTTCTTCCTGCAGCAGCCTCTGGATGTGTTTGCAGCGCCTTGCGAGGCATCGAGGCCTTGAACCTTGTTGCGACTGCAAAGGTAAAGGTAAAGGTTCCCTTGCTCGAAAGCCAGGGGAATCCGACTCTAGGGTTGCGGTGCTCATCTCCGTTTCCAAGCCGAAGAGCCAGCGCTGTCCGAAGACGTTTCCGTGGTCATGTGGCCGGCATGACTAAACACCAAGGCGCACGGAACGCTGTTACCTTCCCACCGAAGTGTTACCTATTTATCTACTTGCAATTTCTTGCTTTCGAACTGCTAGGTTGGCAGGACTGCAAACGCACCCATAATTGCAGGCTCACCGCAGGGGGCGAAGCATTTGCTTCTCCTTTTGCACATCATTGCAGAGGGACACCTCAGCCACCTGGTAGCAGCTGTCAACGCACATCCCCCTCCTTAAGTAAGAGTAAAAACTTCACCCCACTGAACAGCACCTCTGTCTAACAACAGAAAAGAGCAAGAGTCCAATAGCACTTTAAAGACTAACAAAATTTGTGGCAGGGGAAGACAGCCAGTTTGGTGTAGTAGTTAAGAGCGGCAGACTCTACTCTGGATTCCCCACTCCTCCACATGCAGCCAGCTGGGTGACCTTGGGTCATGTCACAGTTCTCTGAGAGCTGTTCTCTCAAGGGCAGTTCTCGAAAAAGCTCTCTCAGCCCCACCCACCTCACAAGGTGTCTGTTCTGGGGAGAGGAAGGGAAGGAGATTGTCAGCCGCTCTGAGACGCCGACTGAAGGGCAGGGTATAAATCCTTCTCCTCCTCTTCTTCTTTTTCTTCCTCTTCTTCTGTCTCTGCCCACTTCCTCACAAAAGCTCCTCCCCTGCCACAAAATTTTGTTAGTCTTGAAGGTGCGCCTGGACTCTTGCTCTTCTCTGCTGCTAAAAAGGTAAAGGTAAAGGTTCCCTTGCTCGAAAGCCAGTCGAGTCCGACTCTAGGGTTGCGGTGCTCATCTCCGTTTCAAAGCCGAAGAGCCAGCGCTGTCCGAAGACGTTTCCGTGGTCATGTGGCCGGCATGACTAAACACCAAGGCGCACGGAACACTGTTACCTTCCCACCGAAGTGGTACCTATTTATCTACTTGCAATTTCTTGCTTTCGAACTGCTAGGTTGGCAGGAGCAGGAACTAGAGATGGGAGCTCACTCCGTCATGCGGCAACTCGGGTCTCGAACTGCTGAACTACTGACCTTCCACAGTCTGCAATTCAGCGTCTTAACCACTTGAGCCACCGCAGCTCTGCTGCTACAGACAGACTAACCCGGCTTCCCTGTCTTGATCCGTCTAACCGTCAGTGTAAAACAAACCCAATTACGACAGCAACGTGCGCCCACTTCAAAACGGGACGCGGTTTCGTACCTCCACGAAAGCCAGGTTGATTCTGTCATAGAGCGCTCGGGTTCTGTCGGTGAGCAGCACCTCAAACGTCTGGATGTCGGAGTTGGCCTCCAGGCCTCTAAGGGGGCAAAGGTTCTCCTGCCGGTACAAAGCAACAACTGGGTTACACTGAAGTACTTGCATGATTTATTAGATTGTTCACATCACATCATTTGCTACCTGATCTTTCTAACTGGAGAGGCTGTGGACCGAACCAGGGACCTTCTGCAGGCCGAGCAGAGGCTCTACCACTGAGCCACGGCCCCTCCTAACACTGAAACAAGTAAGCATGTTAGATCCACAGGGAACACATGAAACTGCCTTATACTGAATCAGACTACTGAGGTCAGTATTGGTCCACCAAGGGCAGTATTGTCTACTCAGGTCGGCAGCCGCTCTCCAGGGTCTCAGGCAGAAGTCCTTCACATTACCTACTACCTGATCCTTTTACCTGGGGATGCTGGGCGCTGCTACAGACAGACTAACCCGGCTTCCCCGTCTTGATCCGTCTAACCGTCAGTGTAACACAAACACAATTACGACAGCAAAGTGCCCCCACTTCAAAACGGGACGCTGTTTCGTACCTCCACAAAAGCCAGATTGATTCTGTCGTAGAGCGCTCGGGTTCTGTCGGTGAGAAGCACCTCAAACGTCTGGATGTCTGAGTTGGCCTCCAGGCCTCTAAGGGGGCAAAGGTTCTCCTGCCGGTACAAAGCAACAACTGGGTTACACTGAAGAACTTGCATGATTTATTAGATCGTTCACATCACATCATTTGCTACCTGATCTTTCTAACTGGAGAGGCTGTGGACCGAACCAGGGACCTTCTGCAGGCCGAGCAGAGGCTCTACCACTGAGCCACGGCCCCTCCTAACACTGAAACAAGTAAGCATGTTAGATCCACAGGGAACACATGAAACTGCCTTATACTGAATCAGACTACTGAGGTCAGTATTGGTCCACCAAGGGCAGTATTGTCTACTCAGGTCGGCAGCCGCTCTCCAGGGTCTCAGGCAGAAGTCCTTCACATTACCTACTGCCTGATCCTTTTACCTGGGGATGCTGGGCATTCAACCTGGGGCCTTCTGCATGCCAAGCAGAGGCTCTACCACTGAGCCGCAGCCCCTCTCTTTCTCATAAAACCTCAAGCCAGTGTACTGGATTCTCCATTTTATCCTCACAACAGCCCAGTGAGGTAGGCTAGGCTGATAGGCCTGTGGTCCCTCAGTGCTTCATGGCAACCAGGGATTTCAAATCCAGTATTCTAAGCACTAGATTGTTTTGTATGGTATGGCTGTGGGAAAAGAAATTAAGAACAAACACACTGAATCATACGACCCTGTCCAGGTTGGCTTATACCAAATCAAATCACTGGTCCATCCCAGTCAATATCAGGGGTCATTTCATAGAAAAAGAGGTGCAGGAGCTCATTAGCACAACTCATTAGCATAACTTATTTGCATATGCCACACCCCCTGACATCACCGGAAGTGTGTCAGAAGGCAACACCCACCGCTCAGGCTCCACTGGACTGTTTTGGATTGCTAGCTATTTTTTTTGGGGGGGGACGTGCGGATCTGCCCTCGCAGAGGAGGGAGAGCTTGTACCTGAATAAAACTTGGTCTTAAAGGTGCTATTGGACTGTTTTGGATTGTTAGCTATTGGGGGGGGGGGGCGGCCAGATCTGCCCTCACCGCGG